AATTTTTGATTTATTGTAGCGATGAGGTCTCTCCAAGTTGCCCCGGTGAGTCTCGAACCCGTGGGCTCAGGCAATCCACTCACCTCAGCCTCCCAAGGCACGGGATTACAGCCCGAGCCACCGAGCCCGGCTTGTCCTCAAGATCTTAACATAACACAACTACAATGTCTGCAGGCTCAACTGCAGCTGAAGAAAGGAGAAGGATGCACTTGTAGGGAAAATGTTCCTAAAAAAAAAAAGTGTTATGCAATACCAACTGCTGCCCTTGAGCTGATTTTGAAAGTTTGGGTTTTCATATTAATAACTCTAAGAGGATTTATTTTTATTTCTCATTAGCCAATGGGGAGGGGGAGGAGCAACAGGAAACTTCCCTTGACTTGCCTGAATGTTCACAACCCATTTATATTGTTAAAGTATTTAGAGAAGTAATGAAGTAATTCAAGTCTTGATTGGGGGCTATTCAGAGGCTCACCAGTTATTTCTAAAGGTGTTCCCAAACTTCAGGGAGGGGGTAGATTGGGGGGAGGATGAATATATATGTATATATCTTTCAAAAATAAATATTTACTAGCTGCACTTTTAGGAGGACCCAGAGTGACAAGTGAAACTAATAATATAGGGTAACAATCTTTATACATTGAGAACCACCATTTTAGAAAGTGAGACGACCTTAAATTCATTTAAAATCGCAAAGAAAAAGTTTTCAAGATCTGAGCTCATGTCCAAAATGAAAGTCTACCAGCATGATGTGTGAAGAAGATTTTTTTTTTTCTCCAGAGTCAGAGAAACCTGGATTTGAATCCTCAGCTCTACCATGTACTCAGTCAACAGTCTTAGGCAAGTTACTGAACCTGTGTTTCAGTTTCTTCATCTGTAAAATGGACCTAAAAGTACCTACTCTTGGGGTTTTTGTACAGAGTCAATCAATGAGATAAATAAACTTGGCAACAAGCAGGTATATGAAAAATAATAGTGCTCCTCCTACCCCTTGAACAAAACATGAAAGAGCTGGGTTTTGAAGGGGATTTTTTTGTTGTTGTTGTTTTAAGAAAATAACTCTTTAAGCCCAGCAACTATGTTTATAAGAATCAGCATAGTACAACCCCAGTTTAATTGGCAACCGCATTTTCACACTGAATTCTCATATCACTCAATCACATCTCTGCCTATAGTCATTGCCATCCACCTCACCTTTGACAGTACAGTCACACAATTGACAAGATCATTTGAAGCACTCATCAAAAATTCTTATGTGTTTCAACTGATGAGTTGGTAACAATGATCATAAATAACAGATAAATTTATTTTCTAAAAAGGATAAGTCATCTTCTGCCTTTCTTGCTTATGTGTATGATTTTTAAAAGCAAAGACAAAATTTTTAAAAACAAGTAAATAATTCAGTTGGGAACAGCGAGAAGTCATTCATTCATTTAACAGATATTTACTTGGCATCTACAATATGTCTGTCATTGTCCTAGGCTCTAGGGATCCATACAGGCAGATAAGGACCCTGTCCTTATGACATTATACTCCAGTGACTTGAAAATTAATTCAGAGCCTTTAACCCTAATATGAGGCCTGATAATTAAGTTCATGAATTCATCCTAGAAAAAGTGCTACATACCTCATTGCTGAATATCACTGTGGTCACCTTTGAAGTACTTCCCTTGGGAAGCTATGCTCCAATGCCAGCATCTAGTCCACCTGTCAAAGCAATTTTGGAGCTCTTTATTTGGACTGGCCATCAGAGTTGTTCTTGTATTACTCTTAATATCCTGAAAGTCATCCAAATGTCTTCCTTTCAATATTTTCTTTATCTTCAAGTAAAGAAAAAAAGTCTTTGGGGGCCAGATCAGGTGAATATGGAAGGTATTTCAATACAGTTATTTGATTACTGGCTAAAAACTTCCTCACAGACAGTGCTGTGTGAGCAGGAGCATTGCAGTGATGCAAGAACTCCTTTGGGTCCATTTTTCGCACATACTTTTCCCCTGACAAGATTTTCAGCTAAGACTGTCATGTTTGTCTATCACTATTTATTTGGTCTGCCATGCTTCTCACAGTCAGCTGATAATTTTGACACACAATTCAACAATTTTTTGCAATGTTTTCATCAGTTCTACTTGTTACTGGCCATCCTGACCTCTCTTCATCAGTGACACTTTCTCTCTCCTCAAAAAAATGTTTAATCCATTAATGCAATTTTCTTCATGGCATTATTTCCATAAATTTGGACTAATGTGTTCCTGATTTCACTTCCACTCTTGCCAAGTTTTTTTTTTTTTTTT